CTCCCCGAAAGCATATTCGCGTGTCGGTCGATGCCAGTCGGAGTCGTCCCACTTGCGGATTTTGACAGAGTTTTGTACTGCATAATTTTCTGTTCCCACCTCATAGGTATAACTGTCGTACGCATAACTCATATCATTATGACGATACTCACCGCACCCTTGCGCCAGCCATTTTGCAAGCTCACGCCTGGTGAGCAACGTTTCTTCTTCGGGCGGGATTTCGGCTGCGTGGACCCAGTTAACCACACCGTCACCTTTGCCGGTGGCTGCGACTACCCAGCATCCGTTGACGTAGCCGAGTACATCCCGTTCATAGGGAATTTCACCGAACCACACCAGCATCCTCTTCGGTGTGCTACTCAATGGATAGTCCGCTCCGTTGGCTTCTTTCAATTCTTTATCTTTGTACTTCATACTACCACCTTCTCGTCAGTGATGAAGACAATATTGGCGAGCTCGCGAGGATAGTCTGCGTAATGGTGGAGCATATCCTTGACTATGGCACTGCACGTCGGGAGCACCACGAACGTGTACTTGCGGTCATTGAGGTCCATACTGAAGGTAAGTAATACCTTTTCGGGAACACTGATACCCCAATGTGCTTCTTCAACATTCATCACCCTGTCATTGGGGTGCACGACATACGGGTAGTATTCGGTTTTCTCTTTGATGCCCTTGCAGTATTCAGCAAGGGTGGGCTTCTCCGGTTCCTCCGGTTCCTCCGGCTTTATGCGATGGATAAAATTGAAGTTTAAGTTGTTACGATTGAAATCGAAATCTCTCCATGTGTCCGAGTAAGAGTCGTACCACTGTATCATCTTCCCCTGTTCAACGGCTTCAATGATTTCCTTCATCTCTGCGATTTTGTTGCGTTTCATTAAATATTCTCCTCTAAGTCGCCACGATTAAAAGTCTTTAGTAGCGTGTTCTCGGTTTCCAGTTCCTTTATGCGCTGCTCGTAAGTATTCATCACCTCTTCCGTGTCCACGACATCGAAGGCAAAGAAACTTGCGCATCCTTCTATCGCTTCGTCCCGGACATCCGACGGGATGTCGTCTATACAGACAACAGAATATTCAACCAGTTTGTCACGTTTCATTACACACCTCCTCGATTACGAAGCGGCATTGCGTCAGCTTCTTGTTGTACCGATGACACATTTCAAGGGCCTGGACACGTCTGTATTTGGACACGGAGGCTAGTCCGCACATCAGACATTTAATCCTGTACGTTCGTACTTTAGTCATCAGGCATCCTCCACAATTCTCAATGTTGCTGGATAGTCCCAACGGGAGACGCCACGACGTTTTACAAAGGAGCCATCTTTATCCGTAGGATTTTTGTGGTAGTAGCCTACAGCTTCACGATTGTAACGTATGACATAATACAGCTTCGTTTCACGCTCGACTTTGTGGCGAACCTTCCCGCCATCTACGTACGGGTTCTCCTGTTCGATGTACTTCACCGGC